AGTTGTTTCATAAGACAAACAATTAGTATATTAAAGGAAAGCGCTGGGATCTGCGCGAGGATTTTTCTGGTTTCTATAGCGCACTGTTAGCCAAACACCGATAAACTAGTTGTAGAGAACAAACACACAGTTAATTAGGGTTTACTATACTTTTTGTATAATATAAATGGTTTATATAAATGACATATAATTAGCAATCAAACGGTGTATACCTCTGTGAAACTGAAGAACAAACCAACGAATCCTGAGATCTCCAGTGCGTTAGCGATCGCTTTCTTGATCTTCGGGGCACACATTTCACAGTCAGTTGAACAGTCGTTTACATCAGTGCAACACTTCACCTATCATTCAATAGGAATCAATATATAATTTACTATTTCACAAATAAGTGGATCAATTGGACAAACATTTGGACAATCGGTAATATTAAGAGTTCTCGCTTCTTCCTTCTCATAACCGCAACAATTGTAAAATGTTTGGGCGCTTTGCTGTGTCTTTTTGGAGGCCGTATTCCAGCCCTTATGAGCCAATTGTGACTGTTGTTCACTACCGAACGCCAGACAGGCGCAGGCGATACTGAATTGTACCACAAACAGGATAAACAATATAACCATATACTGTAACAATTCAAGCGTGGTATTAGTTAATCTCATAATTATATTGTAATATTCATTAGTAATATGGAAAATACTAACGAAAAATAGGAGAACTTGATGGTGTTTTCGGGCGCCGACCAGTCCTACCAATGATAATAGGAATAGGAATACTCCACAGGCAATAATGCCCCCGATTATGGCAATACTGGTCACTTTGCTGGCAGCCATTCCATACGCGGCCACACCAACCAATATAAATGACACCAACTATTCATATAATATAAACCATTATTATTTTATTACAAAATAATTAATATTTAATAGTATTGATAGAATTGTAATATAAATTGCAATCACTTACGATATATAGTATATTAAGTGCTGTCAACGCATTCTTAGTACATGTGAATCCGCCGCACATTTTGAATGAATGTGAATTTAAGTCAAATGTTTGGTTGAGTTAATTATTTTCAATTCAAGGAATATTAATGTAAATTTTTGTTATCAACACGAATCTCATATACAGTGTAAGTCATTCATTCAATACACTAAATATGACTATTGTTTCCACAACTCTATAATTTGTAGTATACTTTGGGATTAAAGTGAATAAAAATAATTGATTAACAGATGTTTATTTTGATGGAGACATAAAAAGACAAACTCTACAAGAAGTGGGAACCAATTCAGTGACAGCTGTTTATAAGTACCAAAAACAGCGTTTGTTTGATCGCTATTTTGAGTGAATATTTTCGAGTTTTGTTATGTCTTTGACGTTCAGTCGTGTGGAGTAGCTATGGATGTATTGAATGAATGGGTGGAGTGTTAGGAATAGTCAGACTCTGTTCTCTTGTATTGATTGTCTAAAAGTCACATCTCTTAACATCCTTTGGAGTGAATGGTGTTATAAATGCAATGTTTTTGTCTCTCACTTCACTTTTCCATGTTTTTGATGTTGTAATGGAAAAAAGGAAGAGGAATATCAAATGGGAAGGCATTTATACCCAGGGGTTGGCTTTGGATAATCAATGTAAAAGTTAACAAGTGATAAGAGTCTGTGCCTCTCGTCATATCATAGAGGGATGGGTGGGCCGGGGTTTGGGCTGGACTTTCACCATAGACTCGCTCACAGAGATATCATTCACTCATTTCTAAACATTTTTGTTGAGATTATTCTTAAACAATAACTAAAAGGCAGAGAAAAGACATGACATTTAATAGCCTTTTATTTGTTTACAAAATGTATACCAAAATTCATTTATAATGAGAAAAACACATTAATAAATGAAATTTAATATAATTTGTGTCAAAGACTATGCAATTAATATGAACTGCATTTGAGTTATACATGTGTAAAGTGAGGCGTATTTTAAGTCCATTGATATTAATATGCATTCAATTCATAATTTTTGGTTCATTTCTTTTTGTTAATTAATTTTTTCATATAAAAATTTTAATTAATATTTTGCATATTTATAATAAATTATTATTAATAATCATCACTGAATTGATTAGTAATGAGTGCTTTTAGTATAGTTTGTTGTGAACGATGTTCAATAATAGTGAAATTGACCATGTCCATTGTGGGCACCCTATCAGGACTGTCCATATTCCTCATATTTCTTATACAATACCACAATTATAACGCTTCCGTTTGGGGTTTTGTCACTGGTATTGGTTATTGATTATAATTTATAATATTGTCTAATTTGACACAACAATGACAACTCATTTAATTAAATTCACAGGTATTTTGTCGTTCTGTGTCTTTCACTTGAATTACTTGTATCTGAAGAATAAAATCGATGAATGGTATGAACCGAAAGCACTCGAGAAGCTTAAAATCATGGGACTTGTCATTGGCCTCAGTTCTGTCGTTGCTTTCGGTGTCTATCTCTCGCTGTTTATAACCAGAAAACAGGGTTTGTTTTGCCATACAATCAATGTTTGCATTAATGAATTGAAATTAACATATTTTTCATTATTCAGATATGTTTTCCATGAATGACTTTAATTACTTTCCGTGTATTATATTTTCCATACTATCGTTCAAATCGGGAATTTTGCTGTTTTCGACGGCAAGACATTACAAGAAATATGTAATCCTATGTAATCCACAATTCATTTACGATATAAGAAAACAAAGCGATTCCCAACCAGAACTTCAACATTAATTTTACTACAATTTCATATTTGCAATGATTTAGTCTTTGACTTAAATTTAGTCATAAATTGTGACGATTGACGAGTTTTTCCGTGACATTAAGTGATTATATGATAATAATATTGATTATAAATACAAACAAATAGACAATTAGTTCAAAACAAATGAACAAAACTTCAAATTAATCCAATGTTTGCTCAAATGATTGAATAGTTTTAACATTTGACTAAATTTTTGTAATATTTAAATATTGATTGATTAAACTAATAGTTTTGTATAAAACAAAGTGAACTAAATATAAATACTTATATTTAAAATATACAATATATGACATTTTTAATTATTACAAAAGTATATTAAACATCATTTTAATTTCAATTGTATTTTCAAATTATTTTCTGTCCATTTATATAATTTCTGTTTTGATATTTTTATTGTTTTTTATAAATTTTATTTAATGAAATTGATTTATATTCATGTTTTAATTAATATTATTAATATTGTGTGATAAGAGATAAATAATTGTAATCCATTTTAATTTATATGTTATTAAAAATATATATAATTATTAATGAATTGTCACTAAAGTTGTGAATATTCAAAATTTTACATCTTTTTAAATAACAATAATTAAAGTTATCATAATTTGAACGACAATAGGCCAACAATTGCACTAAGTTGATGATGGTAAACTGGTCAACTTGAACATGATCATTGATCAATTTGATCAGATTGTCGTAATTGATGTAATGGTATGAATGGTGTAAATATGTGGTGAAATGCGTGGCATTTAATTGCAAAACACATTTCAATTGCAATATTGTATTGAATTAAGTGTTGAAACAATTAATGCATTAT